CCTCTGTGATGTCACGGTATGCCTTTAGGGATATGAAATACCCAAAGAATCCCTGTTCATATCCATTCTGCTACAACACTACGTGCCATGCTTTATTTCTATTTTTCCAAATTTAATCCCACATGCCATTTCTCATTCATCATTTGCCATTATTTATATCACGTTTTGTCTCATTCTTTATTGTCTATATGTTCTCTTATAGGCTATTATGAACCTCTTTGCCAAACTGGTTGCAGAAATACACGGTTTTCTGCCTTCAAAACATTTATGTATGATAAAACAAAACAAAAAACATTCACTATGTTTTTTTATTCTTGTTTTCACATCACATTAATAAAGGAGGGAGAGAAAACTGCATCATGGCGTTTCCCTTAAATCTACTAACCTATTCCTTTCTTACATTTCTCATGAAATGCTATGACGACTAAATCACAAGTTTCTTAACTTTGACACCCTCTATGCTCACTTGAAACATTAAATGCATTGATCACCGCTTAACTATAAAATTTCTATTCCTTTAAATGATACAGATGGTAAAAAGGAAATAGTTCATGTTTGAACTCATATTGGTACTTTTTTGGGGGTAAAATGATCTAGAAACAGCTGATGTGGTTAGAAAGAAGTTGCAATATAAAGTACTACACTAAGAAATTGTTTAGCAAGTTAGCCATGGCACAAGCTTTTCCAAAAAGTGGGTGAGCAGCAGTTAACAGGATGCAGAAGTGTTAAAGTAGAAGCTCTACTTTCAGAATATATTTTATTTATATTGTCTGGATGTTAAATGTAATGATTGTTAGTGTAATATTAAATCATACTATTAATTGTATACTGTTAAACGAATATTAAAGGGACACTAACAAATACAATTCTTGCAGTGGTCATAGTGCATGAAGTCTTCGGTTGTAATCCATCTATTTCTAGCCAGTTTTTGAGATTTATTAGCCACATTAAGCCTTGCCTTTCTTCTGCTGTCAAGGTGATGCAGAATTCTTATTCTTTCATTATCTCTACAAATCTGAATGATAATGAAACGCTATGAGTACTGGTCTAAACCACCCCGAGCGCTTGCTGCTTATCACTGTTATAATTACTTGGATGGATTTATTATGCCATCCAAGTATGGATTTATTATGCATCAACAGCAGATTGGCCAAGCATTAGGTGTGAGGAGACCCCTATTTCTTTGTCATACTGCTCAGCTGCATTTCTCCTCTACAGTGCCAACTGTTTTATATGTATCAAAAAACTAAATTTTTTAGGGGGCATGGCTTGACCATCAAGCAATATGGCCGTGTGAAGGCAGCGCTCCAGCACAAACACCCAGCCAACAGCTACAATCTGCAGTGAAACACCAGTTTGTATTCCCCTGTACTTTACCACGCAAGTCAGAGAAACTATGGTAGCTGACAAGACTCGTAAAAAGCCTAAGCCACTCCAGCAGGCCGCACATGCTGGCGTTGGTATAAGCACATGCTCTGCAGCCTCACCAGCTTTGCCAGCCACAACAAGCTCTCAGGTACTTACCCCTGTAGAAGGACCAGAGGAAATTCTTCAATCATTGATCGAAGTTGAAGTACAAATGGCAGTGGAAATAGAGAGATCGGCAGCCCAAGAGTTCAAAGCTGATATACAGGCAGTGGGGGCAAGAACAGCAGCTCTGGAAAGACGCATGAAGCATAATGGAGCTTACCAACTCACTGTTAAACAGTGTTAAGGACCTGGAATCGGCTATGGAAGACCTAACAGGTTTAGGCTAAATAAGGTTAGGATCAGGGGGTTGCTTGGGGTAATGCATTTAAGATCATGGCCTTCATGGGCAAGTGACCTACCATACTGATGCCAAGCAATGATCAGCACCAATTTTTTACAAGAACTGGACCCAAACATTTTTGAGAGGGGACCCGAGGGTCTGGGAGTGCTCCAAAGAGAAAGTATGGAGAGAAGAGAATAACTTCCATGGTAGAGGTATCTACATCAAGTGGTCAGGGTTCCTGTATGTTGTAAGCCTCGACAACACATGGGTGTAGTAGAGGTCAGAAACGGATTAATTACTAATAATCACTGTTTCTCCTTATTTTATTCTTGTATATTGCCATATTTTTTTTATTGTAACTCTTGCCTCTCCCTAGTTTTATGGAGGTCACCTTTTTAATACACTAAACGCTCAGACTTAAATTCTTAATTTTTAGGGCATATGCCACACTATGTCAAACAGAAAGGAAACCAGCTGAAGGTTTTATAAGTTTGACATAGTCACATATCAAAGTCTCTATCATCCCCTCCACCCCAAAAAAACAACAACAGCAGCTTAAAAGTAAAGCCCTACTGAGATAAGTAGGAATGGGACACGAAACAGTGATGCAGCATAACTCCAATAGTCCTACTTATAGGTGTTGTAGCATACTCAGAACGTACAGAAGCCATAGTTTGTTCAAGGTGGTGTCCACCTATGTTATAACATATTGGTTAGGTTACCATGGGATAATAGTGGTCCTGCAGGGTTCCACCTTCTTTATATAGGCCATTTTTGTTTATGAGGAGAATGGTTACAACTGGCACAATTATAAGATGCAGGGGGATAACTAATTAATTTACCAGGGATGGTTTTGCTGTGGAAGTAATTGACTCTAAGTGGAATAGGGCTAAAGTTGTTTTGAGTTTATCATAAGTTGGCTCTGGTTATTTTCCCCTGCAAGAGACTAGATCTCTGCAGAGCAGATGGCCACCCCCTATCGACCTAGACCAGTGAAATGGTTTAATTTGCTAATTCGGTTTTGGTTTTATGATATTTCTTTAGTTTCCCCCCTTCCCTTTTCCCCTTTTTTCTGTTCTTTCCTCTGGCTCTTCTCCACTGGTATAAGGACCTAGAGGACCTGGAGGTGTGTTTCAAGTAAGATGGAAGAGACCAGATTGTAGATACCCGTGCAATAACTCTGTGGGGTGTTCTTGGGGTAGATTCTTTTACCTAATTACGTGTCCCCAGCAAGAATCCCCCATGGCTTGGAGATTAAATAATTTCTTGTTGAAAGACCACCAAGTTATAGAACATGTCCAGAAGGGCATCACCACATATTGTATTGAGAATCTCACCATAACCACAAACCATTTGGGTTGCTCATTAAACAGTGCTTCAAGGACAATTAATAAATATTGCTACCCTAGAAAGAAAAGAGGCTATTTTAACTACAAATGGCCCTCTGAAAGATAGAACAGCAGCACAACACAAATAAACACAAAATAAACCTGAGGAGCATGAGTCTCTAAGGCACTTAATAAAAGAGAAATGTCTTTTGATGATGAGATGTCCCATGGCATACTCTGAATTAAATTACTTTTCTATGAAAAGTTCAATTAGATGGATTCTCTTCTTGCAAGGCAGTGATGCCCAAATGGCAGTTCAAATTGATAACAGCCCTAAAAACCGCTAATGGCAGTCTAAGTAATTTTCAGTCAAAGGAGTGCTTACAGAACACTACTCCGCATTATGTAATCACTCACCTCAATTAAATACAGGAGGTCCTCATTTTGTGATCTACCTGTTTTCCGACGGCTCGCACTTACAACCAGCTCTCTCGCGGGGTGGTAAGTGCAAGCCGTCGTGGGAGTTGGAGGGATTCCCTGCTCTGCTTAGTTCTTCTATGTTTACGTAAAATTCCTCGAACATAGATGTACGCAACAGAGCAGGGAATCCGTCTAATCTATGTTCGGGGAAATTTCCCCGAACATAGAAGAACGCAGCAGAGCAGGGAAACCCCTACATACTGAATAATTAGTTCTTTGACCGGGTCGTAGGAAGGGAACCTGGTCGGTAAGTGAGGAGTACCTGTACTTGTAACATGATTCACATGGAGGATCTTTTTTGAGCAGAGTGCCCTATGTTAATATGGGAGAGGTCTGACTGACATTGCTGGGGTCACCAATCATTGAGGAAGAAGTAGGCTGATTTTTCTTATAGATGTTGACATATTTTAGATTCTAGTCAGCCCTTGAATCCATTACTGAAACACATTATTCACCCTTCACCAGGTCGAATTTGTTCCCGATAAACAGTTATATGAGAACACGAGAAGGGTGATCGTCCTGGTATGGTGGGCAGTGACTAAAGAGACACCTTCTCTGATCCTCTCTTTGGATGAAGGGTAGGCTTTCGACCATGTCCAGTGGCCTTTTTGTTTAAACTGTTAAAACACATGCAATTCCCTATAGATTTTCTAATACATCAATACAACAAAAACAGACAATCTGAAAACAGTGGCTTGACCTTTGGTTAGTCCCAGCTCAGGAGTTTCTCTAAGCTTTTGCCTGTTCTCAAAATTCTCATATTCTCTGTTTTGTTGCAATGCATTTGCTTGGGTTCTCCCAACGCTAAAAGGGTAATCCTGACGTGGACCCCGTGCTCACTGTCTTCACTATGCCAAGAGGATTATCACATACACCTCTCTGACAAGTCCCAAAGAAGAACAAAACAATCGACTGGGGTTGGTTTAACTCTCATGCAGAGGGAACTTGCCAGAATTGCGGTTCTGTACTGCTGTTATGGGTGGGGTCAGTCTGATATGCAAATGGTATAGGTGCCGTTTGTAATGGCACAAGTGAGCAAACATGTTGAGACCTGAGTGGGGACTAACCAAAGGGCAAGTTACTGAGTTTCTCTATAATTTTCATAGTCTCTGTTTTCTGCAGCTAATAAACTACTTTATCTTTAGCCTTATATCTCCAGCAGGATATTAAAAATTCCTTTGACACCTTCTTCCAGAACAGAAAGGGACACTCCACTGCCCAAATTAAAATAAAATAATGAGGATACACTCTTCACACAAAGTGCTGTATGGGTCTGGAGTATCACTTTAAGGGCTATGCCGCATTCCAGTAGACACACTATTCATGTAGGGTTAAGCAGAATATACCCAGAAGCTGTTCATTTTTAACATGTAAAATCATGCCTGCATACTTAAACAGTAAAATACATGAGCTGTGCCTCTGTAATTACCATTCTGCCAGTAAATATTCAGTTTGTCAGTGGAGAGGTGGTGTCCTGTTATTTTCTTACTTCCTCCCCTATGTTTCTGCTTATTTGTGGGTACCCTTGTTTAATGCTATATTTCAACTCAGTCTCTGTGTTTTGTTCCTCCGCCTCTCAGTAAAAACCACAGCCTTGGGTGCTGTCCTTCCTTATTTATGAAACTCTCCACACCCTCCTCTATGCTTCCTGTGTCTTGCAGGTAACTCATGAAAACTCTGCAGCTTTGCAATGCTGCTGTGTGAGAAAGGACCACACCACCCTCAACCATTCGAATGTTAACTTACCAGGCTATACTTACCCTGAGAAGCGAAGCAGCTGGCGGGTAAGTCACATGGATGCTATTCATATTATTCTCAGTTTTACAACAGAGGAAGATAACAGACTGCCTGTAGCAGTATCAAAACATGTAATATTAAAGTTTGGCCTATTTTGGTAAAAGAAATTATGGTGGTCACTTACAGCCATATATTTCTAAATTCTGTTATTTTCAAACAATGTGTCACAGAGGCCTATTCATAAACAGCAATCAATTAGACAACTTTTTATTTTATTTATTTTTTAATGGATTTTTATTTACAAATGCAAAATCTTAGATGTTACAGTAGTAAGTACACATGTACATACACATACTGTACATATCCTTAAAATAATTAAAGCGAATAGTGTGAATTCTTACAGAAAAGCATTTTGTTTATTCGCCATACTGCCCATACTTTACAAAACATAGATATTTATTTTATCTGTGCTTTAGTGATTTTGTTCACCTTTTTCAGAGAAATGTGGGATGCATTGCGGTTGTATTTTTTGTAATTAGGGCATTTGTCTAGGTTGGCATATTATTATTAAATATTCATCATAGTTATAGGGTTTTGGAAAGGTTGCGAGAGGTTTTCACTCAGAGTGTGTTAATTTATTATACCACAACAATCATCTGCCTAGCTACCAGCTCAACAAAACTTGCTACCCTACTAACACATGGCACTAAATGTCCCCTCCTGTCTCACCTAACACAGTAGGGAAACAAATTAATATTATAGCAATCAAGTGGATCATTCCACATTTCATTGATGATTTCTTTCCCTACTGCATGCATTTTTAAAAATGTTTTATACCACAGCCATCATTATGTGTTCCTTTTTCACAGTTATGAGTTATCATGTATTTTAACATAATTCCCAGTGATGTACATTTAGGAGACGTTGTGGGTCTTTTCACCCCCACCAACTTTTTTAATCTTTCTTGACTCAGCATTGTCCCATCTATATCCTTATTCCTTCCACATCTTCTTATCTCTCTCCCCCCATTTGTCACCTTCAACAGCTCTCCCAAAACTTTCTACCGCCTAATTAACCTTACCTCTCCTCCCATTTCATCTCCATTTTCTTCAATAATATCATTGGCGGGTACAAGGCTAAGCAGCAATATACACACATCTTAACATATCTGATAACCTGAGCTTGGGCTTAATCACATAAAGTCACCCAAGAAAGTCCATGGCTGCACAATACTACACTATTGATGTAATTTAAGTTTTAAGTATGTAAAAATCAAAGAGACAATTGTTTATAAATGGGTTTAATGATTGTATGTATTATTTTTAATTATTAGTCTGCTGGAAAGCAATCTGTTACAGATATGACTTGGTTATGATGCAACTGAAGTTGATATGCAAGAGACTTCACCATACAGGAAGTGTATCTGAAAGTCTCACCTCAAGTTTAACATTTCACTATGCTGGACATCTGTATTGAAGAACAACACAATCTTTACTATATATACAGTAAACTACTACAGTCAAATTATATGTATATTAAAATACAACCATATGGAAGCCCAAAAAGTCCATAAATGTTTAATATTTTTCTGCCTTGTAATCTCAAGAAAATAATTTATTGGGGGGAAAAAAATGTTAATTTTTTTAGAGATAAGTCATAAGAATGTAAAAAAATATATGACCTCTCTGGACTTCCTTATAATCAAAATTTACTTTGCAGCAAATTTCCTGTACACATAAAGATTAGGACCTAATCAATGCATTGTGAGAGCTGCAGTTCTATAACAACCAGGGACTGACCATTTGGTCATCTTTTGTTTATAGTAATAGTCATATATCAATGTATGTTGTTTTTGTTGGTTTGCAATTTGTGTGTTCTTACATGTGTAAGGAAATGGTACAGATATATTTGAAGTTTAGATAGTAGCAAATACAATATACACCTGAAAACGTTTGACTGCTTTAAAAATAAATGCATTGCATGCTACCTGCAAATTGATAGAGCCCTAGTTTACTGACCTATATTTATCTCACAGGTAGCATGTCTTCTTCATGGACCACGCTCCTGCTCCTCCACCTGTTTATCTTCCATACATTTTGTTATAAGCTTCCAATCTCAGGCAAGGAACATTTGGTTGCCCTAAATGATGAAATCTTAGACAACCAAAAGCAGTCTTTTCTTGGTAAGGCCGAGCTACTACGCAATCCAGAATGGGACACTGCAAAAAATTTAGAGGAATTATTATCTAGTTTAGTCCGTTCTAAAAGGGATGCTCTTGAAATTGACAGCAGTTTACCAGCTCCAAATACACTCAATGCAACGAGTGAAGAATTAACTTCAGATGCACAAGAAAGCCAAACACCGATTATCATAGAAACATCATCATCACACAGTAGTCCTGCAAGCATGAATCTCATGTCTGAGAGTGACACCACTGCTGTATATGAAAGTAAACCACAGTTTTCATCTACCACTGAAGACAATCAGCATATATCTGAAGTTCACACAACTCCTTTGTCTCAAACAAATCAGACAGATTCACTGAGGTCACCTACAGAAACGTCCACACTTGTTCCAGATCTTCTCTTAACCCTCGGAGATTCTGCATCTTCAGAGGCATCTGATGGTACAACAGCAATCTTTGAAGAAATTACCACATTTGACAAGGTCCTATCAACTACTCTCCACTACACTGAAAGCAAGGAAAGTGGCAAAGGAATGGTGGACAATAAAACTTTTAATTCTGCTTCCACAACCTCAAGTGAGAGCCTGTTAGAAGATAATGCAACCTCACAGAATTCATCAAACACATATGACGGCACCACTAAAAGGATGACCGACTCTACCAGTTCATTCAAGATGACTACAATGGCGGAATCTGCAGAGCAAGGACCTCCTGTCCATTCCATTATGAAACAGTGTATGTTGATTATCCTGATCCTGGCTGTTGTCTGTACTGTTTTTATCATCTGTACCATTGCACTGGCTGCCAAACTTTCCACCTTGAAGAGCAGGTACAAGCAAAAACAAGCAGCCAGCTATGCAGAAATGATGTGCATTTCAACACTTCCGCCAGAAAACAGCCAAAACAATAATGTTCATCTTAAAAAAATGAAGACTTTTACTACCAATGGGGAGGACAGTGATGGTGACGACGACACCACTCTTAATAGCTTTCTTCCTGAGCACTAGTACAAAAATACTGCACAATTAATTGTATCCAAACCCGCAACAAGGCATTTTGTTATTGCCAGTGCAGGGAACAAGGACTTGGTTTAGTATTGAAACAGTGTATTAGTTAATAAAGTAATACATTTTGATTACTGGGAGTACACTCTTTGAGACATACAAGCTTATAGATAAATCAGAACAGGAACTAAGTATAAATAAAAACATGTTACATACTATAGTGATATAATGAAGGTGGTTAAATTTATTTTGGAACAAATGAGGTGGAAAGGATATTTTGTTATTTTGTTACTGGCTAATTATGGCAAGTGCGGAAGCTCTCAATTTCCCTAAGTACCATATATAGGGATCGACCGATATTGATTTTTTTAGAGCCGATACCAATACCGATAATCTATGAACTTTCAGGTCGATATTCTGTACATTTACCATTTTGAAAAAATTAACTATTTAGGTGAATGCACAAAATATACATGCCACATGTAGTAGATGCAGTGTGTTTAGACAGGGGAGCTATGTGTGTTTGTCTGGTGGATGCAGTGTGTATTTGTGTAGTGTGTGTATATAATGGATGCAGTGTGTATTTGTGTAGTGTGTGCATATAATGGATGCAGTGTGTATTTGTGTAGTGTGTGCATATAATGGATGCAGTGTGTATTTGTGTAGTGTGTGTATATAATGGATGCAGTGTGTATTTGTGTAGTGTGTGTATATAATGGATTCAGTGTGTATTTGTGTAGTGTGTATATATAATGGATGCAGGATGTATTTGTGTAGTGTGTGTATATAATGGATGCAGTGTGTATTTGTGTAGTGTGTGTATATAATGGATGCAGTGTGTATTTGTGTAGTGTGTATATATAATGGATGCAGTGTGTATTTGTGTAGTGTGTTCATATAATGAATGCAGGATGTATTTGTGTAGTGTGTGTGTATATATAGTGATTGCAGTGAGTGTTTGTGTAGTGTGTATATATAGTGAATGCAGAGTGTGTGTGTGTTTGTGTAGTGTGTATATATAGTGAATGCAGAGTGTGTGTGTTTGTGTAGTGTGCGTAAAGTGAATGCAGTGTGTGTGTAGTGTGCGTAAATTGAATGCAGTGTGTAGTGTGTGTATATAATGAATGCAGTGTGTTTGTGTAGTGTGTGTATATAATGAATGCAGTGTGTGTTTTGTGTAGTGTGTGTATATAATGAATGCAGAGTGTGTGTGTTTGTGTAGTGTGTGTATATAATAGATGCAGTATGTATTTGTGTAGTGTGTGTATATAATGAATGCAGGGTGTATTTGTGTAGTGTGTGTATATATAGTGAATGCAGTGAGTGTTTGTGTAGTGTGTATATATAGTGAATGCAGAGTGTGTGTGTTTGTGTAGTGTGCGTAAAGTGAATGCAGTGTGTGTAGTGTGCATAAATTGAATGCAGTGTGTAGTGTGTGTATATAATGAATGCAGTGTGTTTGTGTAGTGTGCGTATATAATTAGTGCAGTGTGTGTTTTGTGTATATAATGAATGCAGAGTGTGTGTGTTTGTGTAGTGTGTGTGTATATAATGAATGCAGTGTGTGTGTGTTTGTGTAGTGTGTGTATATGATGAATGCAGTATGTATTTGTGTAGTGTGTGTATATAATGGATGCAGTGTGTATTTGTGTAGTGTGTGTATATAATGAATGCAGGGTGTATTTGTGTAGTTTGTGTGTGTATATATAGTGAATGCAGTGAGTGTTTGTGTAGTGTGTATATATAGTGAATGCAGAGTGTGTGTGTTTGTGTAGTGTGCGTAAAGTGAATACAGTGTGTGTGTAGTGTGCGTAAATCGAATGCAGTGTGTAGTGTGTGTATATAATGAATGCAGTGTGTGTTTTGTGTAGTGTGTGTATATAATGAATGCAGAGTGTGTGTGTTTGTGTAGTGTGTGTATATAATGAATGCAGTGTGTGTGTGTGTTTGTGTAGTGTGTGTATATGATGACTGCAGTGTGTGTGTGTGTTTGTGTAGTGTGTGTGTATATAATGCAGTGTGTGTGTTTCTGAAGGGATGTAATTTGTGTAAAATGGAAGGGGGGTGTATTTTTGTTTTTAATATTTATATGTTTTTTTTCTGTCCCTCACCCTGCTTGTTACTATGGCATTCCCTGGTGGTCCCCCTCCCTGTTTGTTACTATGGCATTCCCTGGTGGTCCCCCTCCCTGCTTGGTGCTATGGCATTCCCTGGCAGTCCTCCTCCCTGCTTGTTACTATGTCATTCCCTGGTGGTCCCCCTCCCTGCTTGTTACTATGGCATTCCCTGGTGGTCCCCCTCCCTGCTTGTTACTATGGCATTCCCTGGTGGTCTAGTGGTATGTACTGAGCAGCAGAGGGGGCCCGCAGAAGCTGTTACTTACCTTCCCAGCAACTCCCTTCATCTCTTTGTGTAAATCTCACGGTCTGCGTGCCATGCGGAGGGTTGCCATGGTAACCCATGGCAACGCATTGCGGCTGCGGTACTCGCGAGATTTAGAAAGGAGCTGAAGGGAGCTGCTGGGAAGCTAAGTAACAGCTTCTGCGGGCCCCCTCCGGGACCAACCGTCGAGGTCCTCATATGTATTATCGGCAATATCGGTATCTCTGCTGAAAATACCGAATATCGGCCGATAATATCGGTAAAACCGATTATCGGTCGATCCCTACGATATTGTAACAAAAACAGAAAATTTGAACCTAGTGATCTGAGTTTTTAATTGTTTTTTTCTATCCATGGAGGACATGCAGCAAAACATGTCCACCGACTGCCACAGTTGAGAAAAGTGCTGAATCTACCATATTTAAGCTAGATTGCTACAGACAGTTTTCCACTGCAAACATGCAACTCAATAGTTCTTCCATCATTATGTCATAAATCACTATATCAACAAAGATGCACAATTTGCATTGAAGTTGACATGATGCAAACATTGTTTTGCTCACTTTTATTGGAGTAGGAGCCTAGTATACTTAATCCCTTACGGACACAACTTTTGGAATAAAAGGGAATCATGACGAAGTATTTCCATCATGTGTAGTTAAGGGGTTAAATCACCCTGTAGTTAAGGACCCAAGTGGCATAGTGAATAAAACAATACAAATCATAGTGATACAGATTATTTAATATAGGTAGGTTACTTTGAAGAAGGGGTTGGCAGGTGATATTAACTTCTTTCATTTGTTGCAAATGTGCCTAAAATTTTGTGCTACCAACTGTATTTTTAAAACTACTTTGAATGTATTTCAATCTGTTATGTATTTTTCTTATTTTAAGTGATATTAAAACAATTATACATTCTCACAAAATACATCCTTAGATTTTTGTCAAAATTAAAAAATTGGAAAGTTTGTATTTTTAAAAAAATCAGTTAACATGCAATCCAAAAATGTTAGTCAATAGGTTTGGTTCTCTTAAACATAAATTCATGTAAGTCGAGAAGGCTATTTACTGAAGAAGAAGGAAAAAAAGAAAAAGAAATTAACATATGTCTGCATTCAGTTTTAGCCTATTATTTTACTTTTGCTACAAACCTAAATATGTGATTGGCTGGATTTATTGTGCAGTAAAGAATGCCCATCAATCTTCAGGATTATTAGACATCCATACATTCCATGGTTTGTAAACGTTCTGCAATGTACTACGACAATAGTAATATAAACTGCACATTTAATAATTATTCAAAACCAACACCATATTTATCCATTTGTAATTTTTGGCCTTTGCTGCCTTGTACTAGGACTTTATCTATGGTTCCTACTTCTTTGCATGCCAGAGAAAAGTTCTCATAAATCTCGGTGTGAATTTATCATTACACAAGTTTGCTCTGCCCTTGCAACCGTGTTTCCACAGGGCTCTGATCGCGTACACCTTAGTTGGCATGCTGGTGAGGTTGGCTGTATGCCAGACTGTGTGTTATGACCCTCCCTGCTTTCAGATACATTATCAGAGATGTGTATGATGTTACTTGCAGGCTGTTTAAACTTTCTATCCAACCCCTTCGTCCCCACGCTTCATCCATTCATAGTTTGCTCATCCCATGGTTGTAGCATTTATCAGTACATTAACTACATTGCTAACATCTATTCAATCCAATGCAATATAACCAAATATAAGAGGCAGGTCAACACAATAGCCCAAAATATGGAAAAATACACGACATATACCATGTCAGCATTGGGTAGTTCCACTTGGAGCTAAAAATAAAGATGACAGAAGTAACATATCAAAAACAAATCTGCAAATGCCCACATCGATATCATCACATTTGGTAATACTTTTTACAATAAGTTCAAAAATTCATGTCATTGTTTGGCAATCTAGTAAACAAATATTTGGATTTACTTATGCGTATATTTTAATTTGGTGGCACTGGTAGCTAGCAATATGGCTGCAAACAATGACAACGTTTCAGCTAGTTGATATGATAACTAACCGCTTTCTGGAAGTGGTTTGCTACACTTAGAAGTCAGCCGTTCGGAAGTAAGCCCGCAAGCTCTGCCATTAAAAATAAATTTTTTTGTTCTGGCAAGTAATAGCTTATTGGATGTAACAATTTTAAACCATACAACATCCAGTTTTAGTGAAAACCAGAATTTAAAAAAATTATATCACTTGTATATTTTGTGGTACAAACAGTATTAGAGGAGAAATACAGAGAGAATGATGAGAACAATAGAGTGGAAGAAGATATGCATAGCAAGGAAAAGAATAAAAGCACTGTGGCGGAACCAACCTCGCCACTGGCCACTGGAGGAGCCTGGTCGCCCGCCTCCTGCCACTGCCCTGCAGAAAGGCTTATTCGTGCCTTTTCTCCTGCAAAGAAACGAACACCGGTTCATTCGGGACTTTCATTATGTGAACAATGTTACCCCAGATAGTTATGCCATGGAGCCCATTTGTATACTGAAAGACTGTATGAAAGACTTTGGCTCCATGGTGATTAAACTATGTGTATGTGATCTGAGTGCCATTCGGCAATAATGTGCTCTCAGATCTAAGCTATCTGTGGATATGTTGAATGTATATGTTTTGTGTAATATTTGCAACATTGTATATTTTTCTGTCTTTTTGGTAACGTGCTTAATGGAGTTTGCCTCTGTCCTTGGAGATAATTGGATTACTTCCCAATTATCTCCAGGACAGAGAGGAGGGATTATAATGCATTGTGTGAGTATTTAAATGTGTAAGCTTGTGATGGGTCTTTTTACCATTTGTATCCCAGTCTTTCATCTGGTGCCCTAGGGGAGTGTCCACCAGATGGAAGTCCTGCATAAAAGCCGGGCAGGTAGCCCCAGTAAATCAGTTCTGCTTGATCCTCAAACGAAGTGTTGTCTCGTTCTTGGGGGAATTGGATTGTATGCTGTTACAGTGCGACTGCCAGGAGTGTAAGCTGTTCGTATGGTTTTTCCTGTTCGGCTGTTTAACAGCATTCGTGTGTTTCCTGTTCGGGAGTTGGAGGATTCGTACGGTTCCAGTTCGGGAGTTGGAGAATTCGTGTGTTTGCAGTTCGGGAGATTGGTGATTGCAGTAGCTGCCTGTGCATCTGAAAGGGGAATATCGCCTAAACGGTTTTAAACCTCTTGTGTGCAAAACGGTCCGTTACATGCACTAATTATGACTTTATGATCCAAGCAATAGATAGTTGTGGTTGACATGGAGAAACGCCAGGATCCGCGACACAAGGGTGATTCTGTTGATAAATAAATACTTATATCAGAAGTATGGATTTAATTTTTTCCTGACTCCTCAGGGCAACTCATCATGTCCCACATAACTTTTTGTGGTCAACATGTTTTTATATATAGCTCACATGGTTTTTTTAAGCAAAAAAACAAGCATAAAATACACTTCCTGTGTAGTTTTGAACATGGACAAACTGTTTTGTCACCGTGGTGAACAGAACCTCACTATGGGCTTCTGGAGGAGCCTGCTTGCCCAATGTACTTTAAAAGGCTCCGTTCATGTGATTTATGTACTTTTGTACTCCAGTAAGAGAGACCGACCTGGAACTGTTTTGGGCATAGGAACATGTGTACGGTCGGTCAAAATTATGACTTTCATGGAATCCCGAACCCCTGAACTGATCTGAGTGATTTTTGGATATGTTGGTTCCCCAGATCGGAGCTATAAGGGAATGTGACTTTTGTGGGGTTTCCATGTGTTTTGGGGGTACTTTTGGGATGTTGTTAAAATGTATGTTTTATGTGCCTGGAGATAATTAAGTTTAGTACAGTTCCTGACTCAATTATCTCTCAGGCACAAGGGAGGGATTGCCCTGTTTTGTGTGGGAGTGTCCTGGGCATGTTTGCTGTAACTAGTCTTCTCTCAGGTCCAGTTGGGAATGCCTCTTTAATATGTATCCAGAAACCCTTTGCATGGGGAGTTGCATATAAGGCTGCATATGGCTCCCATTAAATCTGTTCTACTTCACCCTCAACACAGAGCCTCGTCTCGTGCTTGTAACGGACAGCTATAACAGCTATATCACTAGCACTTATAAGGGCTATCCTGCTATAATCTCTGGAGTAGAAGAGGTCTACACACTTTACTGAGAGGGTAGTGGATGCATGGAATAGCCTTCCAGCTGAAGTGGTAGAGGTTAACACAGTAAAGGAGTTTAAGCATGCGTGGGATAGGCATAAGGCTATCCTAACTATAAGATAAGGCTAGGGACTAATGAAAGTATTTAGAAAATTGGGCAGACTAGATGGGCAGAATGGTTCTTATCTGCCGTCACATTCTATGTTTCTATGTTTCTATGGTTTCTTGACTTGGGTCCAGGGTGGGTGGAGGACAGCGAGACCCCAGCCAAGCTGCGGCGCTAAGGGTCTACAGTGCTGATGGTATCTGGTGGAGTGTTTGGAGTACTTGGTGAGCACTAGGAAACATCGATTGGCGGAGGCACCCGGTCAGGGTGTCAGGCGGTTTGCCACAGTCACCAAAAATCTTTGAGAAAAAGAATCTATAAAGTGGGTAAATATTAGTGATGTCCCAAACAGTTTGCCGAACGGTTCGCCGCGGACTCATCATTGAGTAAACTTTGACCCTGTACCTCACAGTCAGCAGACACATTCCAGCCAACCAGCAGCAGACCCACCTCCTGGACAGCATCCATTTTGAAGCTGCATTCTTAGTGAGCTGTCCAGGAGGTGGGACGGTCTGGGAGGGAGGGTCTGCTGCTGATTGGCTGGAATGTGTCTGCTGACTGTGAGGTACAGGGTCAAAGTTTACTCAATGATGAGTCCGCGGCGAACCGTTCGTGACGAACTGTTCGGGACATCACTAGTAAATATTAATATAAATTTTAAGATTTGAAAATTAATTTATATTTAAAAGAACTCTATATCATTATGAATAAAAACCTGTATTGCTAACACTAAAGTGTCCTGGTTCCTACATAGATTGAGAGCCCCCACTTTCCTTTTGCAGGAAAAAAAAAGAAGCTATTTACATACCATTTTTCCTCACTCCTGGTTTCCTCTGAAGCTGCTACCGACTCCGCCTCCTGCATCGTCAATGTGGATGTGTAATTTCCATGATGAATATCCAATCCAATGCTCCTCATAGAGTACAGAATTCAATACTACCCTAAGAGCTATATTTGGTCACATAGCTGGATGTTGCAGACGAAGCTCCCCTAGTGTGTTTAACCCTATAATGTAAACATTACAGTTTGTACACTATGCAGGCTTTTGGGGCACTGCATCCAGACCACTTCATTAAGGTGAAGTGGTCTGGGTGAATTTAGTGGTCCTTTAAGGAACTATTAAAGTTTCTAAATTGTGCCAGTTTGCGACTGTATTAGCAAACCAGTTTCAGAGAATACAGAGAATAGAGAGCAGGCTGGTTTTTGCTTTCTTGATATTGCATCACCCTCCACAATTTATTTAGCTTTGAAGCTGTAGGGCAAGGTTCTGCATGGATGAGTGGTGATATTACAGAGCACTGTGGTGCCATGGCACAGGGAGATTGATATTTAAATTTAAAATTCTTTTTTTTTTCTTCCATATGAGTTAAATATTCAAAGCATGCGTTGGGCTAACATACACACTGAAAAAGTAACGAAGTCATATAATTTACAATCTCCCTGTGACCATCACGTAAAAAAGTTTGTGGTTACATTCTACACTTATTGATAGGTTTGCTTGGATTAACCCCTTCGAGACACATGACAGAAATTTTCCGTCAATGCAGTCCTACCCTTAAAGGGACACTCCAGTGCCAGAAAAACAATCAATTTTCCTGGCACTGCAGGTCCCCTCTCCCTCCCACCCCACATCCCAGGTACCCTTCAGAGACTTACCTTTATGCAGCGCCGATGTCCCTCGGCGCTGGTTCAGGGTCTGCCCACGCTCCTCCCCCGCCGACGTCATCTGTCGGGGGAGACCTAATGCGCGTGCATTAGACCTCCCCATAGGAAAGCATTGAAAGAGGCTTTCGATGCTTTCCTATGGGGATTTCAGAGACTCTGGAGGTCCTCATATAGACAGCCACTAGAGGAGGAGTTAACCCTGCAATGTAAATATTGCAGTTTATGAAAACTGCAATATTTACAGTTGCATGGTTTAGGGTAGTGGGAGTTGGCACCCAGACCACTCCAATGGGCAGAAGTGGTCTGGGTGCCTGGAGTGTCCCTTTAAGGTCACATGCCGGAAAATGACTAAATATAAATGACTAAAATTAACCTCAGATCGCCGCGATCGTGGGATTAACGCTGCAGCTCGGTATCCGAGGCAGACAAGCAGCACCCAATCGCACAATTCCCTGCACCTGTGATTGCTCAGACAGCCTGTCAGGGCGAGCACATGTGCTGGAGGGATTCCTGATCCGCCTCCCTGCACTTCCGTGTTCAGTGTGAAGTGCAGGGAAACGGATCAGAGCTGACCCTCTTCTCCATGTAAAAAAAATGTTACCATTAAATCCCACACCCCTATACCCTGCTCTATTAAAATTAACCCCTTCCCTGCCAATTGATCACTGTCTGCAGTGATCAAGATACAGATTGCAGTATTTCACTGTGATCTGATTTTGTTTTTAACCCCTGAGGGTTAACTGTTATTTATTTTTTTATTTCATTAATTAACTTAATTTTTTTTTTTTATCTATTTGAATTCTTTATTTTTGTTGTGCAAATGTTTAACAGGCAAACTTCATGCCACAACAGCAAATAACTGTGTCGTGTAATAGAACTGCACATTTTTAGGTAATAAACAGGCTGCTAAAAATAATGTCAAGTAATGAGAGAACCATGATAGCGATTGCCACATACTATTTAGGCTGACATTAGTGTAGGCATAGAAGGGAAAGTAGGTTATCATGTTAAACTGTAGTTAATTCTGAAGTTAAGTAGCCGCTTGGTGCTGTTCTCATTGGAGGAGCATAGGAAAATATATCTAAAGATATTGGGTAAACTTGCATGCCCTTTACGAGCTTAGATATTTCTGCAGCAGCAGGGGGAATGTCTGCTAGATAGGCTGACTTGGCCTAGGATATATGTCTCCAGGGGAAGGGTCCCACATGGGCCCAACTGGCTGTTTCCAAACAGCAAGTACAAGCTAAAAACAAACATAGGCAAAGTTCAAGCTATACTGCCATGTTGGATTAACAGGTTGCCCGAGGTCTGACATAGTGATATGTGGGAACATGGCCTCCCTGTAGTGGTGTCCAGAGGCGTAGTTAGTGTAGTAGGCATGTTTATGCTATCATGTCATGTGAGCAGTCGAACAAGACTCAGCTTGGTATTAGGTAGTGATATGCGTGAGATAGACTGCTAGATGAACTTAACTGGCGTGTAAATAGAATTAAGTATGAATTGCCCCTGGGGCTGGGGATAGTGATTTTCTGCTGCACTGCCTTAATGAGGAATTATAAAGGTGTATATTAAGGTGACCCTGAGCTAATCGCAGAGCAGGTTTAACTGATGAGGGGTAAAATTAAGATGAAATGACCTAAAATAATCTCTGGGCTGCATCCCCATTGGATATCATACAGAGGGAAAGTGAGAATAAGCCATGTTAAGACACCCCTGGTGTCTTTAAGAGAAACCGCTGTTTAGTTAACCTTCCCCTTTCGCAATATCAGTAACTCCGTTCGCATAGACTGCAGTATACGAACCACCATCAGGGGAAGCGGTAATCTCCCGACCGGGATACGTGAAAGGCTCCAAACTCCCGAACGGAAATCCACGAACTGCTGCTAGCCGCCGAACAACGATATCCACCAAGCGGCTTTTGGTTCCAATAATCAGTCTCTAAGCGCAAATAAGAAATCCCCCCAATAACAAGACAGAAGCTCCGCATTGAGGGTCAAACAGGATCTGCCTTTACTGTGGGCTACCTGCCCATATTTATGCAGGTCTCCCACTTGGTGGACACTCCCCTAGGGGACCAAATGGGAGACTGTAATGACAGATAGACATGGGGACATTTCAGACATACAGATGTAACCTTTTCCCACAATGCAATATGGTTTCCTCCCCTCTGCCCTGGAGATAATTGAGAAGTAATTCAATTATCTCCAGGACAAAGACAAATCGCCATCTTAAATAAAATACCAGAAAATACGTAAAAAGACATAACTTTCAAATGATCGAACATTTCCCATTTGCATCACATATCCCCAGATAGCCTGGTTCTGAGGGCATATTATTGGCGAATAGCGCTCAGATCCCACACATAGTTCAATCGCCATGGAGTCAAAGTCCTTACAGTCTTTCGGAATGCGATTGACTCCATGGGAGGGCTATCTGGGTTAAGTCCTTTCGTGTGTTGTAAAACTCCCGAACGGCCGGTGTTTGTACGCTTTCGTCGAGGCAGCCAGGCGACCTGTTGTTTCAGCGGTGTTCGGCAGAAAAAGTGTCCGGTTTTAGTTCCATGAAATCCGTGCCAAACACCGCTGGGCTTTCGTGTGTTTTAAAATGGCCGCTGCCTCGTGGTCGACATACGAACGACGGCCACCCTGAATTCGGTTAAATTGAGAAGTGTCTGCTGTTAACCACAACGTTCTAATTGGGATCAAGAGGTTAACCAGCAGCACACTTCTATCCTGGGTGGCCATCTGTTCGGTAGATTTGTTCGGTGAAAACAGTCATTCGTATGGCTGGACTACAGGAACAGCCATTTACACGAAAGGGGCAGAAATAGACGAATCCACCACAATAGACAGACAGATGGTTCTGTCACAAGCCAGTAGGTTAATTGCCTAATGCAGAGCCCTACATCAAGCATGACATGCCATGAGAACAAACCTTGCCTGGAATTGCTCAGTGAATGCCCATTAATGATGGGCTACCAACCCTGGGAACCGTGAGTCCATCTTTCTGCATGCACAGACGCCACCCCCTAAGCCCTGCGCGCTCCTGCCCTGACAAGTATTAGAGTCCAGTAGCCAGAAAACGGCCTCTGGGCCTTCTCAATGCTTGTGAGTGGTGCTGTCCTGTGTGACCCTTCCGACGGGGCGGTGTGCGAGCATGGAGTCATGCCCCTTCAGAACGCCACAGAGTGAAGCAGCGGCGGAATGGTAAGGCAGGTTTGCGGCGGTGTGGTGCTGCTTTAAGTCCTGATGTCTGGAGAGACAGCTGGTAAGTCAGACGGTGGGGTGGGCCTCTCTCCATATTGGGCCCCGACCTTGCGTCAAAACGGTGAGCTGCTGCCCCAGCCTCATTCTCCAGCATTGCAGGCGAGTAGCATGCGGTCTCTGTTCCGGCCAGATACTCCCCTGTTGCAGTTATTAGAGTTTCTTCAACGGGGACCAGGATGACCCCCACCGGTCCAGAGGGGGGGATATGGGGCATCAGAAAAGTTGCTGCTCGGCTTGGTCCCCGTGTCGGGAGATCAGCAGTCTCACACACCATTAAGCCACCTGTCATGCTAGGCCGCATGTGTGGAGAGTGGTGTATGTCGACAGAAAAGCACGGGTCTGGTATGCACAAGCCCCCAGTCGATGCAGCACTGATCCACCATTATGCTGATCTGCAAAAACCATTGCTATGGCATATAATAGTCAGGTTTAAACTTAGTTGTGCCAGAGCTCTCTGCAAGCACGTCTAGCTAGCTCGGCGGTAAGGCCCCGTCCCCTTAAATATTTTAAAATTATATATTTAGCTAGCTGGAGTTAGTTGTAGTTAGTGGGAAACTGGGGAATTTACAGTTAGGCTAGTTAGGGGTTAACAGAAAAAAAAGGGGTTAACATCCATATTTCCTGGCAAAGGTACATATGGGGGTATTGCTGTACTGAGACGATATAGCTGAGCAATCTATGAAGTATTATACAGCCGTATTACACATAAGGTTTGCAAAACATGCCAAGCGTATCAAAAAGGCAGAAAAAATTATTATTACCAATACATTTGGTACAAGCTAGCGGAAAAATGATCCCACGCCAAAGTTCAAAATAAGCCTTTTGAAATACTTTGTGATGCCTTCTTTTTAAAAAGGGTATGCTGGGGGCGGAGCATGGCAGCGAGACGGGCTAGACGCCATTTCTGGGAGCTCCTTCCCGGCATTCAAAATCCGTCTAAAATCACCCATAAAAGGACCCCATCCAGCCCTGAACACAGCGTGTACGGGTCGGGGACATCCCGCGGCATCGCAAGTTGCCCTTTCAATACACCCCGAGGCAGACCAAGCCGAAAAGGAGAACCGGGGCCTACTACGCGCTGACGCTCGCCGACCTCGAAAAACTTTTCGTCAGGGCGGACGCGCACAAAGCAGCGGACATCCCCACTTACCCCTCTACAACTCTCCATAGCTCCTCCACAGCAATGGGGTACCGCTCCCAGAGACCTCAATCCGTTCCAGCAACGGACCAGCAGGATATCAGCACTCTCCTACAACGACAGGTACCATCCAAAATGGCGGCTGCCGTCAGCCATGACACCCACATGTCCTCTGACTTGCCAAACCAGTCACACAACACAATCTCAGCAACACAAGGGAATCTAAACTCCATGACTGGGGATATCCCTGGAGACACAGCCCCTGCCATTAAGCAGGATCTGCACAACATGCAGAACACATTGCTGGAAATACAGAAGCTCCCTAAAATCTAATATGCAGCAACTCAATGATAGGGCAACACACACTGAAGGGGACATTGGGAAACTACACAATGAAGTAGCTGAACTGAAAACAGCAATGAACCACCTAAAAAATACACAGTAGGCTATGTCACTTCAGATGACTGCACAAGAAGATAGGCACCGCCGCAATCATCTTAAAATCCGCGGGGTCCCCCCGGAGATCGACGCAGAGGAATTACCTCACTATATAAGAAGGCTAATTGCCTCACTGTTGCCATCAACACTAGCCAAGAAATTCACTATAAATGGACTGTACCGACTGCCCACCATCACCAAAACGGCAACCCCAATCACTGGCGACGTCATTCTTCGTTGCTGTACACCACAAGATAAGGGCCAGATCATGGCAGCTGTGAGGGGAAAAACCCCATTACCATTCGAAGATTCACACCTATCCTTCTACCAAGACCTCACTGAAACTACCCTTCAATGGCGTAAATCACTGCAGCCTCTCACCAGCCGTCTGTGTTCCGCAGGGATAACGTACAGATAGGGCGCGCCAAGATCCCTACTAATCACACACAACGGGACGACCCACAAGCTCACAACGGAATCAGAAGCACCTGCAATACTCCACAAGCTGGGCCTTACAGAAGCGGCAACCACAACCTCTGCTCTCCGAGTCAAACACACCTGGGACCCATTCGTACCGAGAGTCGCACCAACAACCTGACTGACCAAGGAGAGGGCGCAGCTACCCCACACCGAGAAATGAACTATGACACATCACCAATGTTCTTGGTTTCTACTATGCGTTACACTAACCTTTGTTCAGATCTCTCCCATCTTAATGGTTACCCTACTCTTACCCGGCACATATACTAAACAACCTACTATTACCCGTTCCACATACTAAGGGACCTGGAGAGGGGCAGTCTCAGACCCGTCTCACATACATACATGAGATACATCCACAAGAGGTGTACGACCCCCTCCCCCACCTGTTGCCCCCTTGGTTAGGGATACCTACCCACTAGGGAAACCAAAACAATCCTCAGGTCAACACCACTCACACCTTGGTTACCCACACACTTCCCTTATCAGCGCACTCATGATCTAACACACTATTACAGCATAAACTACTAGTACCCTCATGTACAAACTTTAACCCACTCATGAATACCCAGTATACTAACACTTAGCCTCCACTGACTCTTAAACAACATAGCATACTACCCAACCCGGACCAGAAGGAGAAAAACAACTCCCACACTGCAGAAACTACACATATCATTCCCTCCTTCAAACATGGAGTTAACACCTCATAAACAAAAATGTGCAAAATGTTTATTATGATGCCTTGTCTACTAACCCAATATCTGTTACCCTGCATTACTGTTACAATGACAGTCCTGGCTGTTGTGGCCGGACGTGTTTCTGTTAATCTGAAAACGCACCAAAAATAAAGAATTTAAAGAAAAAAAAAAAAAAAAAGGGTATGCCTTTATGGAGTAGTTGGACTATGTAGCCTGGTAAAGTTCTCCAAAATAGAACATGGACCCATCAAAACCATCTATGAAAGTGTTGTCACATCTCTTTACAGCACTGTAACTTCACAAAATAGTGCCTAGGTCATACATTGGGCATATTGTATTACTCAGAAGATGTACCTGAGCATAATTTGGGTGATTTTTTGACAGTGGCACTTCTCAAGTGTAAGAAATACCCAGCAAAAATGCAACATGTATGTTAAAAAAAAGCCTTTTTTTCTCACTACAAACATTGACATTAATTGGTGACTAGTGATGTCCCGAACGGTTCGCCGAACGGTTCGCCACGGACGGCGAACATATGCGCTGTTCGGTCCGCCCCCTATGTCATCATTGAGTAAACTTTGACCCTGTACCTCACAGTCAGCAGACACATTCCAGCCAATCAGCAGCAGACCCTCCCTACCACCATCCCACCTCCTGGACAGCATCCATTTTACATTCATTGTGAAGCTGCATTCTTAGTAAACTGTCCAGGAGGTGGGAGGGTCCGGGAGGGAGGGTCTGCTGCTGATTGGCTGGAATGTGTCTGCTGACTGTGAGGTACAGGGTCAAAGTTTACTCAATGATGACGAATAGGGGGCGGACCGAACAGCGCATATGTTCGCCATTCGTGGCGAACCGATCGGCGAGCCGTTCGGGACATCACTATTGGTGACAAATTAAGGCACAATAGAAGCCATATAGGATACCCTGGAGTGTCTGCTTTCTCAAATAGAAGCCCTTTGTGTGGTTATTTGAACACTCAAACTGCTATAATGCCCCAAAAAGAGACATAGGTGCATCAAATACATCTTCAAAATTCTAACTATAGAAACTTAAAGGAACACTATAGGGTCAGGAACACAAACATGTATTCCTAACCCTATAGTGTTAATCCATCATTTAAGTGGCATGTCCCCCTTAGTAGCGTTTAAATCTCACCTTATTTCCAGCGCGGCGTAGGTCCGCCGGCGCTGACCCTGCCTTCCATCAGACACCTTGGTGATATCATCACAATTTTTACGATTTTTAGCCAATATAGTGCTTTTCTATAGGGAAAGCATTGGATTGGCCGAAATCGGCAATGAGGTGGGATGGGGGTCAGTACAAACGCAGTTTTGGGCAATCAGCACCCCCTCACAGAGATGCATTGAATCAATGCATCTCTATGAGGAAAATTCAGCGTCTCAATGCAGAGCGTGGAGATGCTAAATGGCAGAGCTGCCTACTGTGCAGCACTACTTTTCTATGAAAAGGCAGTGTTTGCATGAAAATGCCTGAAGAGAATGATTATACTCACCAGAACAACTACATTAAGCTGTAGTTGTTCTGGTGACTATAGTGTACCTTTAAATAGTTTTGTCTCTTATATGGCGTTATAGCCTCACAGAAAAGGGGTTCTGTCTAGGAATAGCAAACACCCGTTTTATGAAATACGCATTAAAAAAACCTTGTTATATGTGTATACAGGGGCGGGCTGGGCCGGGGGGCATGGAAGGCGATTGCCCTCCAGGCCGCCCTAAATCCTTTCCGGTCCACGGTGCCCGGCCGGAGTGATAGGAAGGTGCATACTGAGTGTGCACTTCCTGTCAGTCCGGCCGCTTACAGGAAACAGAAACTCTGCACGGAACAGGAGTTTCTGTTTCCTGTAACCGGACGGACTGACAGGAAGTGCACACTGTGTGTACACTTTCCTATCAGTCCAGCCAGGAACCACGGACCGGAGAGGAGCTCGGCCACGCTACAGGGAAGGAGAGGTGGGGGGGAGTAAGAAGAAGGGGAGGGGTAAGAAGAAGGGGTGGGGGTAAGAAGAAGAAAGAAGAAGGGGGTAAGAAGAAGAAGCAAGAGGAAGGGGATAAGAAGAGGGGGTAAGAAGGAAAGGGGGTAGAAAAGAGAAAAGGAAGGAGTAAGAAAGAAGGGGGAGTAAGAAGAACAGGTGGGAAGAAGAACTGAGGAGTAAGAAGAACAAGGGAGTGAGAAGAAGAGAGGGGTAAGAAGAAGAGGTAAGAAGAAGAAGGGGTAGTAAGAAGAAGGTGGGAGTAAGAAGAACAAAAGAATACAAGAAGAACAAGGGGGAGGGAGGAAGGGGGAGATGAGGAGAAGGGGACTGAGAAAGAATACAGGGAGGGTGGGTGGTGAGGAGAACACAGGGAGGAGAGGGGGTAAGAAGAACACAGGAGGGATGAGGAGAAGGGGATATGAGGAGGTAGGGGAGGTAGGAAGAACACAGGGGGTGAGTGAGAAGAACACAGGGGGGTGAGGAGAACACATGGAGGGGGGAGTGAGAAGAACACAGGGAGGGTGGGGGGGGGATGAGAAGAGCACAGGGAGGGTGAGTAGGTGTGAAAAGAGACCGCTAGGGGAGGGTGGGGGAGAGCCCTAAGGGACAGAACGGACAGCTCTATAGGACAGGGAGCAAGACAGGGAGCTCTTTCACACTACGCGTACACGCACACACAATGCATCCCTATACATACACAGAAACACACAATGCATCCCTACACACACAGAAACACAACATGCTTCCCTTACACACAGAGAAACACAACATGCTTCCCTTACACACAGAGAAACATACAATGCATCCATTACACACAATGCAACCCTTACACACAAAGACAAGGCATCCTTTGCACACATACACAGAAACACACAATGCAAACCCTTACACATACATGCAAACACACACACTGCTTTTCTTACATACACACATAAACACAATGCATCTCTTACACACACTCAATGCACACACATACAGACACACACCTTGCATCCCTTATGCATACAAACACAGATTCACACAATGCATCCCTTACACACAACCAGAAAAACACAATACATCCCTTATACACAAATACACACTGCTTCCACTACACACAAACACACTGCATCACCCACACAAACTGGTATCCCTATACACTACATACCATAAGCACACATATTATATCCTCTACAATAACACATCCCCTACACACTCCACTCCCTGTGAGCGAACTCATGGGTGGGTGGAACATATAAGTGGACTTATCAGTGGGCCTTATGGGCATACTCACCGTCAGGCCCTGGGGCCCAGACCTTGAGTTGTGTAAGGGGCCCCAAAAAATGGAGCTGCTTCCAATTCTCCCAGAACATTGAATTTTGTGACCACAGTTGCAAACAGCCTCCAGAGATCCTGTTCTACACCAGACCAGTGGAGCCAAACTGCCTCATCTGGTTGTAAGTAGGCATTCTAGTTATTAGTGACACTAATCTATAATTTACCTCACATTAAAGGGACACTATAGTCCCCAGAACCACTTCAGCTTAATGAAGTGGTTCTGGTGTCTATAGCCGGTCCCTGCAGGCTTTTTAATGTAAACACACACTGTGTGCAGCACTGGCGTTAGTTCATATGGCAGATCATATGGGTGGGGCATTATGATGTCACATGGGGGGCGGCAAATTTTTCTTTTGCCTAGGGCGGCAAAAATCCACCGGCTCTGATCCTGGGCAGGTGCACCAGTCTACTGGTGACCCACAGGAGGGGAGTACACTGATTGCACTGCACTCTCCTCCTGCCCAGACCCGTCTTTACCGCAGTGCAAGTGCCCTCTGCCCCTAATTTACAGTGGCTCACACTCACAACAAGCAGTGCCTGGAGCCCTTTGCAGAGACGGGAAAAGAGGTTCTGCGGCAGCTGGCCGTCCTGCAAGCATTACATTCACCAGCTGTTCCCCATGCAGCCACAGGTGGCGCTGTGCTAGGAGAATGTGATTACTCTTCACTTCCTCCCAGTCTACAGAGCAGCACATGGGAGAGAGAGAGGAGGAGGCATGATTTAATCTTACAACAAATCCACTAAGCAAATCTTTATAAATTTGGGTGGATCAGCTCTGTTTCCACAGTTTATTGGTGTTTACTCTGATGTCTGTATTAATATTGAGGGATTTCTAAGTAGTAACATCAGTGTGTGTCAGCAGGGCCAGCCATTGGGGTGTGCACGCTGTGCGGTCACGCAGGGTGCCATGACAACAGAGGCGCCCGGCGGCCAACACAGCTCACAAGTTGGGGACACCAGCATATTCAATTTAAACGATTCTCTGATGGTCCACTGGTGCACACCAGCAGTAGGTGCAGTCAGATTATAGCCTCTGCCTCATGGTTCCGACACTCAGTTAGTGAGTCAGAGCACAGGCTCAGAGATTCTCAGCCTGCGCTCTGACAACATTGAAAGTCAGAGCTGTGAAGGAGTGGGTATTAGCATAACATGAATATCCGTTATTAAACCAGGAAAAGGTGGGCATAGATGGTGAACTGATTTGGTGGTGCAATGGGCCACTTGACTGGTTTTGCACCCCAGGCCTAAGGCTGCCAGCCCTCCCCTGTGTGTATATGCCAAAATACAGAAAAAACACAATTTTACTCCAATATGTTTCAGAGATTGGTAATGAAGTGGCTACATAAAAAGTGTGTGTCCAAATAACCTTAGGCAAATAGCCTGTGATGTCTACTTTATATAAATATATACTTTTGTGTGGTAATTTTGTTTTCTGTGATGGGTATTAAATGTCCAAGACAAACATACCAACTTCTAAAATTGTTGTATTTTGTGACCTGTAACTTTTGAATTAAGCTGAAATCCTATACATCTTATGTACTCTATAAAGCAAGACACATAAATGAATTTATTTTGAATTACTTTTCCTAAGCTGGACATATAATGCATACATTATTATTCTCCCATTTGTTGCCATTTTTTTTTATAATTAATGAGAATTGATATATGTATATGTTACATTGAATTAAAGCCCTTTTTTGCCCTCTAAAAACAGTATATAATATGTGTTGGTGTAATAAATGAGAGAGATGCAAATTGCGGTTGAACACAAACAGCAAAAAATGCAAAAATTTGCTTGAGTCCTTAAGAGTAAGTCCAGCTTCTGAAACTGTGTCTTTAAGGGGTTAAGCATACAATGAGTTAGATGAGGGGATCACATTTATTTTGTGACTTCTTTTGCTTTCTCAGTATGTACTTTACCCACCATGTTTATTTTCCTTTTTAAAAATCATAAATATAACATTGTACTGCAAAATTTAGGGTAAAAAAGCTGATTTGAAACATTTCTATAACCTAGACTCATGCATTTTGGAAGTTGCGGACAGCAGACTCATTTAGATGCATATAGTCTTTGTTTTCCTAATGTCAAAATGTTTTTAAGTCTCATGGCTTTTGAGGTACTTGTTTATTTTTTTTAAAGTATTGTGAGTGGTTTAACAAGGTTTTATGGCGGATCCAGAACCTAGTGTCGGGAGGGGTATTGAAAGATTTAAAATAACAATCCAGGCACAATAAACACTACAGCCCTCTGTAGTGGTTATGATGCAAGGAGTACCATGGCGCCCTCTCAAAGAAGATGGCAGCAGGGCCAGAGTTTTGTCAACACCAATGACAAGCATGCCCCCTCTCAAAGTGAGCATGTTGGTTCAATGCTCTTCCAAGTCAGATTGTGTGCAGAGTCCTGCTGGAGAGCTCTCAAATAAAAAAAGGCCCTGTATTTGTTCTGGGCAGCACAAGCAAATTTAATTACACACTTGTGCTATGTTTGCTTTTGACTCGTTTCTGGCGTCTCCATAAGTGGGAGACCAGAGGACAAAAAGGCAAGGAAAAGTAATGCATATTGTACATATGTTTTGAGGCTGCTTGTTGGGATTGCGTGTGTGTAGAGTGAGCTGATTGTAGTGTAGTGTTTTGTGTAAATAGGTCGGTTTTAGTTGTGTTCCGGTGTAATATGTGTGAGAGAGAATGTGTTTATAAGGGGCAAAGTGTGTATAGAAGATGTATCAAGTGTATGTATAGGGGTTGTACAGTATGTGTGTATAGGTAATGTTGGAGCTGTAGAGAGTATGTGTTTAGGGAATGTATTGTGTGGGTTTTTTGCGTACAGGTGAAACGCGTCAGTGTGCTACTTATTTTCTTTTTGTTTACTAAAATTAATCTGTATTTTACCTTTGGACCTCCACTGAACATCTTTTATTGAAGAAGCTGTATCTCACATTCCCGGGTGGGGGACAAACCACCTATGCTGTTAAAGACTGAGCAATGTCTATTTGCTCATCCATTGTGAGTATATTTCTTTATTTTATTTGTTTTATCAGTACAGAGAGGACTATTCCTGTTCTTTTATACCCTATGTCTATCAGTGGAGCATCATCCTGAATACACCAGAGGAAATCAGGACCGTCCTGACATTCACAGACGGGGATTGTACCGTCCATACGCTGTGATCTGGAGCTGATCTTCAGCTCCAGAAAAGTGTGAGTGCAATATTTTTCCTTATACTTTGCCTCTGCTTTTATAGACATACTACACTATATTAGTATTCCAGTCCCATTTTGTTTTCTTTTTTATATTGGCTCCATTGGATTCCACACAAGGATTTTATTTGTTAAACACTGCTTCCCTACATTCCCAGTTCTATTTGTATCAACGACCAGAAAGAAGAGACTCTGGTTTGGGAAGGTTTAGCTGCTGTACTTATAAGGAACAAGTGCCAGAATTCTCATTTGTGATTATATGTGTGTGCCTAAGGGTTGAAATGTGTGAGGGGTACAATGTGTGTGAGGGTGTGTCACCATTGCACCCCTCCGGATCCACCATTGGCTCAGGTAATATATTGATAAATCATTTTCATCACTTTATGATTAACTGCTTAATGTAAGATGTATGGCACTTTTTTGCCAAACCATAAATGGCCAGTTTCCTCAAACACATCAGTCGCATCAATATTGACTCATTAGCAGCGGTTTCTATAATTTTATGGTCAGAAGCTGCTGACCCGTTTTATGCCTCAGCGGCACTCAGACATTGGTCTCTAATAGATGCTCACCCAGTCTCCACTCCTTCAAAAAATCGTTAAAAACCCACTTCTTCATAAAAGCCTATCAATTAAACTGTTAATAGCTCCTGACTGATTCCTCTTCTGCAGCTGTCATTAGTCTAATACTATCCTTACCTTTTGTGTCACTTTACCCCACTCCCTCTAGCATGTAAGCTCATTGAGCAGGGCCCTCAACCCCTCTGTTCCTGTGTGTCCAACTTGTCTGGTTACAACTACATGTCTGTTCGTCCACCCATTGTAAAGTGCTGCGGAATTTGACGGCGCTCTATAAATATAATAATAATAATAATAATAATCAGTGCTGCTGAGGCACAAAATACGTCAGTATCTTCTGTATTTACCTTCTATGCTGCTGTGTCCCAGCCTGATGTTGCAGTTTTAATAGCTACTCTATAAAGGCATTATATATTTTTCTTTACTGGTGGAAGTCAAGTCAGCACTTTTCATGTTTTTTATGCTTGTTGGATGTTTAATGATAGGGACAGAGCCTGCAGCTGACTCTCGGTGAACATAATGTACTCCAATACAGCATTTTACATGAATCATTTCATCTTTGGCTGATATCACTGTACCCTCTATATATGTGTTTGTTAAATGCTAAGCATTTAAAGATGACTTTAAAAAAAACAAGATTTTTTTTTTTTTTTAAATCTACAACAAATACAGCTACGTAATCTTACTGTGTACTATATTAGTCATTCTGGAATTAGAATGGTTACATTTTATCACATAAGAATGTTTGCAGCAATCTGACAGATAATTTTCCCAAAAGTATATGCAAGCCTGAACAGCTTGCATTTCCCTCCAGCCAAATCCGTCCGCCCAAGAGCCAGTACACAATTATATAGTGCAATGATGTTCTGTTAACAATTTTGTTAACAGAACATAATAACTAATGCTAATTAATAACACACTTGATCGTGGTCTGGGCCTGTTTTTCAGGGTTTGGGCTAGGCCCTTTAGTTTCATTAAAGGGTCATCTTAATTCAAGGGGATAACACATTTTTGTGGCAACACTTTGGGGAAGACCCTTTCTTGTTCCAGCATGACTATCCCTATGCACAAAGCGAAGTCCATAAAAGCATGGTTTGGCATGTTTGGTGAGGAGGAACTCAAGCGGCCAGCAGAGAGTCCTAACCGTACTGAATACTGTGGGTATGAATCGAAAAAGCCTATTGCGAGTCAGACCTTGTCTAACATCAGTGCCTGACCTTACAAAATGCTCTTTAGGCTGAATAGGCACAACAAGGTTTCACAGAAACAATACAAAAAAAAAAAAAAGCATTTGCAAAAGAGAAGAGGTTGCCATAGCTGCAAAGGGGAAGACTACTCCAAATGAATCCTCAAGGAAGTCCAACAAGCTTATATAGCTGTGATGGCCAGATGTTCACATACCTTTAGTCATAGAGTATATTATTATAAAGAATGACTTGCAGATCTAGATGCAATACCTATATGACCAAACTTTGCTGCAAGTAAACTGTAGAGACATGGGCTTGTGCAGAAATTGTCACCACGTTTAAAATCTGCTCGAAGGCAAGACATTCAAGACATTATATTGTGTATCTCTAGAATTTGTTTTGGGGAATGTATGTTTTAATTAAGTATTTGATATTGCACCAGAGGGAGAGGAACTCCCTTCTGGAGTTCGTGAGAGACAAAACTTACACTACTGCAATGAGACAGAAAGGATATCCATAGACTATAATATTTATATGTAACATAATTTGTGCAGAACTTCCCATAATGCATGGACTGAGTGCAATCTTGTAGTGTGGGGTCACTAATGTCAGGGCAGCGGGACACATGTCCCAGTCTGCTGGAGATTAGTGGGAGTTGCACTTCAGGACAGGGTCGTCCATGTGTAACTACCAGCATTTTAATCCAGCCCTTTTTGGGGGGGGTGGGGGAGGAGGGGAAAGGGGGGTACAGAATAAGAAGGGGGAGGGGGAGTAAGGTTGAGACTTGGTACATATATAGGTTGTTTTTTTTGTCACTTTTGATACATAGTACCTCGAGCTACCCCATGGCATGTTTTGTGATCATGATGCAACCCAGTACATAGTATATTGATGTAGACATTAGCTGAGTGTGAGGGTACAACGATAACAAATGTGTGTTGTGCTATTTCCATCTTACGTTAATATACAAGTTTGAGCTCCTGGTCGCATGTAGGTGGGGCCACTCCTGGGCGATGTTAGGTAGACCAGCTGTTGGTTTGGGTTGGGGCCCCGTTGTGGCCTGTGGCCCAGTATGATTGGGAATGTGGTTGGAGGAGGGGACAAGTGGTTCCATCTGGACCCACTGCCTGGTCCCCTTAGTTGTTTCCAACTGGGATTAATGTAATTTAATTCCCCTTAATCTAAAACAAATTGTGTTGTATTTTTTTCCGCAAGGGAAAGATTTAATGAACGGAAATGCTTAAAGAACACTGCTCTTATAAGTTTTATTGGGATTTTTTAAAAAATATCACTTTCACAATAGTTTGCCTTCTGAAAAACAAAACAGCCAACTCTAAGTGATCCTAGATGATTAAGATCTTGACTTGTGACTGGTATATTGTACAGGAGCTTATTTTTTTCTGTTTGCCATGAATATAGCAATGTCAACTGCAAAGTTAATGTTAGTTCCTAGATTTTAAGTATTCTCATTTTAGAAAATACTTTCTTGTGGTTAGAAGCACTCTAGGTGAATGCAAACACTAAAACGGGTGATATGTATAATGGAAATACCTTGTGATAATCTTGAGATATTGTGGTGTTGGGGAAACACAGCAGATATGATGTTAAGGTTAATTTGAAAGATAGGAAGGGTGTTGTCAAAAAAAAGATTAAAACACAAGATACGTGCCAAAATTATATACACACAGAGTGAGAAAAGAGAAGAAGGTGTATAAAGCTTGCTTTATTATCTCCACTCTTGATGACACCTGATATGCGCATAGTCGCCTTTTCCGGCATATCCAACTTAACCTTAATGCCCATTCCCAATAAAACACAGACTACCATTTTTTAATGTTGGAAAATTTTGTCCACAGCTTTATTAACACATCGTATAACATAAGGTCATTGCCAACACTTGACACACATACTAAAATACCCCTCTCCCACCCAAGGGTAATTAAAAACCCTGGCAATGACCCCCAAACATGATTATAAACCATAATATAACAATAATAATCACATAACACACCAACCAAGTGGCATGTTTACCAATATATAACAAACTGTAGGGGTATAGCGAGACACACCTACACCCCCAAGGTTCGGAGCCACCAACGAGCTCAAACCTACGAAACCACTGTAACCGCTGTGACTATTTTCCACTCAACCTAACACTGCACGTTATTGACTCACTTAACCCTGCCCCACCAAACCCCTAATCCCACTGCTGAGACTAAGCAAGAAAATGCCAACAGAACCAAAAAGGGAGGGAGAGAGGGACAACTACAGGTAAGGGTAGGCAGATTAAAATGGCCACTACCTAAAATGGCCAGTATATATAGACCCCTTAAGCCCACCCCTATTAACCCCATAGCCACATCCTATTACCATCCTATGCCTACCTCCTAGCTCTCTCAGGGCCCATTCCTCCTACTTTGTCGCTCCATGGGCTACATGATATGCGCATAGTCGCCTTTTCCGGCATATCCAGCTTAACCTTAATACCCATTCCCAATGAAACACACACTACTATTTTTAACGTTGGAAAATCTTGTCCACAGCTTTATTAACACATTGTATAACACCCCTCTCCCACCCAAAGGTAATTAAAACCCCTGGCAATGACCCCCAAACATGAGCATAAACCATAATATAACAAGAATAATAATCACATAACACCAACCAAGTGGCATGTTTACCAATATATAACAAACTGTAGGGGGTATACTGAGACACCCTTACACCCCCAGGTTCGGAGCCACCAACGAGCTCGAACCTACGAAACCACTGTAACTGCTGTGAGTATTTTACACTCAACCTAACACTGCACATTATTGACTCACTTTACCCAGCCACAGCTCAGGTCTTGACCACCTCGAGCCAGCTGAGCACCCCCCCACCCAGAAAAATTAGCGCCTTACTGATACCATCCTAAAACCCAAGGTTAAGTAGATCATTCCCCACCTCGGAGAGATGCACCCCGTTCGCCCGATAATACCCAGGCAGCATTCCTTACAGATTCCAATGCCTCACCACAACCCCACCTGCCTGCCGTATAAAAACCGACATCGTCTTATTGACCTTCCCCCACCACCAGAGCAAGGTCCCTAGCATGTCTCCAATGCAGCCGAGGAATCATCTCGGACCAAACCACGACCACTTCAGGAACTAATTCCCGTATCCAGTCAAAGTCCCTCTTCATTAGCTTCACTAACTCCCTCTGGGGAATAAGCCCAAAATCATTCCCACTAACAATATCCTTGCTCACACTTAACCAATTACCCCTCCGAAAACCGATACAACATAGAGAGACCACGGCACGAGAGAAACCCAGCTGCATTCCATGATTCCTAACTGCGGCTCTCTGATGTGCCCAATAGATGAAGGAGTGGTCGATCAACCATGCCACCTAACTTGTAACAAGAACAAGAAACGTAACCAATGCGAAAAAAAACTCACACATAAACATCCCTAACCCCTATTAAACCAGCCAATGAGGACATACGTAAGACCGAAACCATATCGATTCCCATCGCCCTATCTGCTTAACCAGATCGCCCCCAAGCTCCAGGCGCGATGCTTCCGTTGCTGCCCCAATTCGGAAGGAATGTGTTCCAAACTCCAAGGGGTCTAACCCCAAATTACGTAACACCAATCTGAAAACCCGAAGAAATTAGAAGTGCGACAGAGGTTACCAGTCTTCATGCACCAAAAAAGAGCCCGCTACCCCAGAAGAAACCCCTAGAAATGCAGCCACGCATGAAACAGGACATATAGCCAAGCCTGGCAAGGAAAACAACGTACCCCGACACCCTTTTCAGAACACGTCCGTCTTGGACTATCACAAAAGAATCTGTACCTTATTCCATGACAGCTTGACATCCGCCAGCTGGAGCCCCCCAGCACCCATCCGTCTTCTACTCACCAGTTCGCCAACTAGGAAATGCACCTAAAAACGCCCACACAAAAGTCACGGTGAACAGTGCCACCTCGAAACCAGAATAACACACTGTGAGTAAGGCCCCCACCAACTTTTCCAGGACCTCAAAGGATACCGGATGCCTACTTTACACTGAATACTTGCCCTTCCAAAAACCCTTAAGCGCCTGTCTATGTTTCGTCGGGTCTTCCCATTCATTCAACCAGAAAAGGAACGCCAGTGCCGCCATGGTCTGTTCAACCACCGACGGAGACGCCCGACCTGTCAACAAATGGCACAAAATATACAGAAACAAATCCAACCGCCCATCCCTGGAATGCTGCCCCCCCGTATGCCCAACCACCTCATGCCATGGACGCCATAGTTAGACGTAAGCTGCCCACATTCTCGTTGCCAAAGACTTCGTTGTTAGCCTTCCAAACAGGACATCCCAACCCTCCACATCTCCACTGGACATTCCTGCCCGTCCGCAATCCGAAAACGTTCCCACTGTGAACGAGACAAAGCATCTGCCACTACGTTCAGATAACCTGGCACATGGCGTGCCTGGAATACAATATTCAAAGACATGCATAACAACACCAATCGCCGGAGCAAACGCAATACAGGAACCAAACATGTCGACAGGCGATAAACGGCATGAACTACCGCCATATTGTCAGTGAAGAAGACCACCCGTTTGTTCCGCTAATCCTCGCCCCATAGTGATAAGGCAACCACCAACGGGAACAATTCGATAAAGGCCAGGTTCCTCATCACCAAATTTCCCATCCAACTTACCGGCCACCATGTCACACACCACCACCCTGCAAAGTATGCGCCAAAACCCACGCTGCCAGACGCGTCCGTAAACAACTCGACATCATTCAATGACGTCACTGGGCCCCCGAAAGAAGACCTCCCTGTTAAAGTCTTGGAGAAACGTGTCCCAAACCCTCAAATCCTCCTTAATGGAATGAGAGACCCGAACATAATGGTGAGGGGATCGTATCCCACATGTGGCCCTCGCCAGAAAGCAGTTGAAAACCCTGCCCATTAGAATAACGCAAAAGGCGAATTTAAGGCTTCCCAGCAGTGACTGCACTTCCCGCAGCATCACCTTCCGCGCACTCTGAGCCCCCCTCACTTTTGCCTAAAGCGCAGTCAGCTTGTCCGATGGTAAACGACACACACCCGCCAGCCGAATCAATTTTCAGGCCTAAAAAACTGAGACAAGTCCTTGGGCCCACAGTCTTTTCAGCAGCCAATGGAACCATAAACAGGTGAGTTACCCATTCCAACGAGCGTAACGCGTAACTGCACACCACAGAATCGGTTCCTCCCTAACCACTTATTCCAGGAAGGTACTGAATTTCACGAAGTAAGCGCATGATATTGAGCACCCCATGTGTAGGCAAACATCCACATAGTAAGCATTGTCGGAAAAACAGCCCTGGCTGGCATCAACCAAAAAGTCGATTCAGTATCCACTTTCGCCATGAGGGAGCCGGAGTCTGCTTTCCTCACCAACTCAACCGCATGGTTGAATGATGCATAGGAAACAGAACAGAGCTCCGTGTCAATGTCATCATTAACTGATGACCCCTTAGGGTACCACAAATGGTGGATTAGCCTAAATTTACCCACATCCTTCTTAGGAACAACCCCCAATGGTGAAATCCATTGGGAGGATCCCCAAATGGCCCCGCCAACCTCCCCAGCTGAACCTTCTTAAATAATTTTTCCCGAACCACCCCAGGGTACTGAAAAACCGACTTCAAGTTGTGAAAAAGATGAATGACAACCCTCTCCTTGAATGGAATTAAAAAAAAAAAAAACTCAGAAAAACCCTCCCACAACAAGCATGCATCATCTTGGTTAGCGTAGCGGCTTAGCCAAGGCAACATCGCGTCGGCCTCCACAGAAGTGGACTGTGCTGCGATAGCACCACCCGCCCCCTGCTGCATCCTTACCTCGCTTGAAACACTGGTGATATCCGTGCACCCCCCAACATCCGGAGCACTCATGTTTAAATTTACAATACAGCCGCCTTTTGCGCCATCATCAACTTCAGTCAGAGTGGCAGGTCTATCTGGTCGCACCGCAGATTTGTAGACAAGCACTACTGAACTTGCTCATCGTACTTCCACCATAGGCCTCCCAAATCCCATCTAAGTAGCAAAAGAACTGGAAACAACGCTCCGGGAATATTTCGCCTAGTACACTTGCCAAGATACAAAATGCCCGCAGCCAATTACCAAAAGACTTCGGTATCTTCTGATACCTATTTTCTTCCGCCTCCTTCTTGCAATCATTAAGGTCCTCTTCCTTCAAGTCACGATACTCATCTAGCGGAAGAAGGGAAATATCTCTAGAAATTCCCCCCCCAGCGAATGATACGTGCACGTTCTGCCGTGCCATATCAGGTATAAGCCCCGCCAATTCGCTCCACTCCTCCACTTCTCCCAACGCTACGGAAGATACTGTCCCAGCATCTTTTTTGCCCAAACCCACTTACAAAGTAACCCCGTCCCCTTTTGTGCACCCGGCCCCTGGAGGATCCCATACTCTCCCAAATTGTGTTCCCTGGACCTCCCCTTCACTCCTAATAAGGTTCTCAAGCTATCCAAGAAACCCATTGTTTGTGGTGTAGAGGGTGACTCACCCCCGTGGCCCCCAGCTGTTTCTGACCATGGTGAAGAATTCCTTCCGTCAACTCTCAGAGAGTCCGGAGCATCCAGTGGCAATCATTGTCCCTCTTCCTGACACCTTCCAGGCACCGCAGGCAATGAGTCAGGAGCACTGGAAAAAGAAGCACATCTGGGTAAACTGTCCACAGATATCCCTACATTTCCTATCCTAGGAAATCCTAGGAATCGCCACCTTTACTAGTTCTGTGCTCTTTGCCCAGACCAATACGGCTGCCAGGAGTATGTCTCCTATTGCTTGGGCTCCTGCTAGCTGACTTACAGGCACTGTGGCAGCACTGGCTACACCTGGCAGAAGATACCGACCATCTCTCGCTGCCACGCTGTTCGCCTGTGCACCCTCCCCCGCTGTGCTGCCCTACAAGGGACCGCCTGCCCTTGCACTGTTCCTTCTCACCCTCTGACAGTCTATCTTCAGACGTGCATACCAGCTGGCCGCCCTTCTTGTGCCCTGCGATCCGGTTCCTGGCCAGCCTGGCACTGCATGTTTTTCCTGGCCCCTGGCAGGGTCGCAAAAGTACTGACCAAACCCTTTCCTGCTAGCACTGGTATTGATAGGAGTATGTGCCAATCTGGGATACCCTCCCCCCCAACTCGCACTTCTACGCCTGGGCCAGCATTCCTGGGGGCCACCGACCTAAAAGGGGCTGAAGCCGTATTAGGTGTACCTAAACTGCTACCCCCAGTGATTCCTGCTTTGGCCAGCTTATTCCTGCTTCTAATAGAACGGGGGGGAGTAAGGGGGGGAGGATGGACCTTCTGTGTGGCCGGGATCAGACTCACCAGATAAGGAGACTGCTTCCACTGCAGCCTCCGACCTGCAGTCAGCGCTCCCCGTCCTCCGACAGCGCCTTGACTCCCCTCCTGCCCGCTGCCTTCCGGCTGGGTGCACTCCAACGCTGGCCTAGTGTCTCCTGACGTCCTGACCCCACTCCGCGGTCCACAAGCAACGTGGGCCATGGATCTCTGACGTCCCCTGATGCTCCGCCTCCAGCCTCCATGCCTCGATCACCTTCCACCGCTCCAGGGCTTAACACAGATTTGTTGTGATGTTACTATTCATGCAAAAATTGTGAATGTCATTGTTACTGCTGCATTTTGACTCTGTCGTTGTACTATTCATGACTCTTTTACCGTCAATATTATGCCTACCGAATACAGTGTACTCTGCATTCCCAATAAAAAATTGTCTTTGGGAAAAAAGTGTAAACTGCAAGAGATTAAAATGAATTGCAATCCATCCCTCTGTTCCTGTGTGTCGAACTTGTCTGGTTACCAATACGTGTCTGTTAGTCCACCCATTGTACAGCACTATGGAACTTGTTAGCGCTTTATAAATAATAATAATAATAACCCTGATGGTATCCAGATAATTTAGGACTCACTTATTATAGAGAACTTAAATTATAAGACTGATCATAGCAGATGAATACTGACAATGTGTAATATAAAATTATGTGGAAATAGTGAACGTTGAGAGTATAAGGACAAATAAGCTGTAAATAAAGGCCACTACCTAGGAGCTGTGAGCAAGAATGCCCACTAGGCGTCACTATAAGTCTGAATGAAGAATGGGGCTTTTTATACCTTTAAAAAAACCAAAACAACATGGCGATAACACATGCAGATCTCAGTATAATCTAAATGTCCACTATTTTGATCACGTTGATCACTATTTTCAGATTCAACAGACTAAAAATTGTGACTGCATGCAGCAATTCTAGGCTACCCTTCACTTCCTATTACAGAGTAAATCATATAGTTGTTGAGAGCCAAGATTAGTCCCAATACGGACCAATCCTGCTCTTTTATATTCCTTTATCAATTATATCTTGTAGGAATTGTAATCTATAAATTTTATGTCTGGAAATTGTTCTGTTACAGAGCAAAAGTAATGGAACTGGTGGTCATCATGGCAGTGCTAGTGATGGTGGGACTGGTAAGGGACATTCTTTCCAATCTATCACTGTGTATGGACTGCTGCAGCTGACCTGGAGGAGGGGGATATGCAGGAGGATTCTGTAAAGATAAAGATGAAAAAGTGATGCACCCAGTCTTCTAGGGACTCTCCTCCACTATCTCTTTTGACTCATAGACTCATAATTTCATTGTCTTCTTAACTAAAATCTCTTAGTTTGTTAGTTTGTGTGTGTGGTTAGCTCACTGGCATCTTAAAGGACCACTATAGGCACCCAGAGCACTTCAGCTTAATGAAGTGGTCTGGGTGCCAGGTCCAGCTAGGTTTAACCCTTTTTGCTGTAAACATAGCAGTTTCAGAGAAACTGCTACAGTTACTTTAGGGTTAATCCAGCCTCTAGTGGCTGTCTCATTGACAGCCGCTAGAGGCGCTTCCGCCTCTTGCCGCTCATGTGCATTCCGCCGATGACGGAAGAAGAGGGAGAAGAGTCCCAGCGCCGGGCTCCCTCGGCGCTGGGACTCTTCTCCCTCTTCTTCCGTCATCCGCTGAATGCGCATGCGCGGCAAAAAAAGAGGTAAGATTTTAACCCCTTTTAACCCCTTCCTCCCCATTCAGGTGCCCCTCAGGGCACTATAGTGCCAGGAAAACGAGTATGTTTTCCTGGCACTATAGTGGTCCTTTAAGTGTTTTGCATAAGCGCCACAAATATTGGTGAGAATGACTTACAGCGACAGTGATTTTTTTTTAAAAATCACTATCACTATACTTTATATAAGCCAATAAAATTCTGTTAGTGACTATTAGTACTCATAGCATACTAAGAAATAAAGTATGAGTGGGCACTCAACAAAAGGGAAGCACTGCTTTCAGTGGGACAGTGTTAGTGTGGGTAGTACCAGTCTACCCAGAGCATGAATACAAATATAGAACTGAAAAAAATATACCGGAAAAAAAAGACAGAGCCCCCTAGCTGGTAGGTAAGCAATTACAGACAATAATACTCTCTAAAGGTGTCTAAAAGCAGCGTGATTAGATAAAAGTATAAAGGAAATTCCCAGAAATAGCTACAATGTACTATACAGACTTTATTAAATGCGGTCAAATGTACAAGGTAATGTACAAGGTAACAACGGCTAAATAATGTTGTATAGTGTTAGAGACCTATGTTAAAATAATTAATAGGACACAGGGGTTTAAGAATAAAAGTAGATGGAGACCAATGCCCTCAGATAATCCTGTACATAGAAGAGGAGGTAAGTATCTGAAGAACAGTGAACCCTTCTCAATGAAGTTAGGGTTCCCACTCACTCATGATAAACAGGTATCTAGAGGGGTTCCAAAAAGGAACCATGAATCTCAAGGCACTACAGTAGTAGGAAAATAAACAGGGGGATGAGTAGAGATAAATGAAAGTAAAATTAATAAGTAAAGTTCAGAGAATACCTTTGTTGTTGAAGTGATAGCAACCTACTACCATCTACAGATAAACTTAGCTATGGGTGCCATAAAAAGAGTGCTCAAAAAGTGAAAAATAAACAATAAATATATCAAAATTCCCAAACTACCAGCTAAGGTGCTCTGTCTTTGGATAGAGCTTTTCCCTGTATTTTTGTCAACTCAGAGCATACTCAACAGCAAAAAACAAATGTGAGGTACTTGATGGACGCAAGTCTCTTTTTAGCTATGTAACTATGTAACTATGTACAATACAGGTACATATTTCACTGTATTATTACTTCTGTTTTGTGTGCAGAGAGGTTGGAGGAGATATAGACACCAATTAACCGTAGACGCTTCACCTGCTTCTGACTGCACTGCAAGGACATTTACACATCATATGTATTCTTTATTTATGTGCCAAGTGTATCTATAATAGACTAAATAGACTACTGTCAGGCGTGGATTCAGAGCTCAATCTGTAGAGGAGCACAGCTAAATTACATTATTTGCAGTTTATGCTCTGTGGTAAATTCATACACCTTGCGCATTTTGAAAGCGTTCAAACTTTTTACTTGCCACTAGCCATTAAAATTCATACCTGGTGAGTATTCTATGGTTTGCATTGGCCATTAATTTTTAAGACCTACCTAGTAGCCTAGGACTCATAACATGGCATATTATTATGGAACTCTATAATACACTCATATGCACTACACATGCACTGTACATTATTGTGAAGTGCTGTAATGCACACATACACTCATTAGCCACATGGGGGAGCTGGCTACCTGGCCAGCGCAGGGCCTGCCACAGCTTCCCTAAACAGCGTGTGAGGCAGCAGCCAGCAGAGCAAGAAGAGCAGAAAGATGACAGGATCATATCAGCCCCACTGGACCCCAAAGGGAAAGGATCCACCCCAGCTATCCCAAAGGTAGGGAGGCTGGGCGGACTTAAATAATAAAAAACAATCATTTGTGAGTGTTTGAAAGAATGTGTATGTGTGTGAGTGTGTCACTATCAGTAAGAGTGTGTGTCTGTCAATGAGTGGCTGTAAGTGTGTGTGAGTGTCTGCCAGTGTGTGTCAAATTAGTGTGTGTTTGTCGGTGAATATGTGTGTCTGTTAGTGTGTCAAACCAGCGAAAGTGTGTCTGTCAGTGAGTATCTGTCAGTGAGAGTGTGTGTCTGTCTTTTAGAGTATGTAAAATCAGTGTGGGGGTGTCTGTCAGTGAGTGTATGCGTGACAGAAGCACACACATTAACGAACACTCACTGATAGACACACGCTGACAGAGTGCATCAAATCAGTGAGGGTGTGTTTCTGTCAGTGAGTGTGTTTGTGAGTGTCTGTCAGTGATTGGGTGTGTCTGTGTTGGTTAGACAGTGTGTGTGCCAATAATTGTGTGTGTGTCTGTCAGTGAGTGTATGTCACTGTTTGTTTATCAGTGAGGGCATATGTCTATCAGTGAAATTGTGATGTTCAGCATCTCTATGCCCTGCTTTCCTATTGGAACGCATTGGATTGACTGAGATCATCCAATCTGACAATCTCAGCCAAGAAGGCAAGGGCAGGGCAGCATTGGAAATAAGGTGAGTAATCTCCCCTTTTAAAAGCAGGAGAATGGGGCTGAGGGGGGCTAAATAGTGATCATAATTCTATATTGTCAGGAATAAATTTGTTCCTTTAAATACCAGCATTGGGGGTGAGGGGAGATTAAGGTAACTCCTTTATTTGCTTTTATTATTTAAGGTCTATTAATACACAGTGTGAATACACAATCTAACACTATACATAAACTGACAAACATACTTAGAAAAACATGCATACAGGTATACACACTTTACACTTACACACCAAACATGCGCACACAATCTGCATCTGTATACACAACAATTGTTATCAAATTTTAAAGTCCAATTATTTATTTTATTAGTTTGGAGGGGGGATTTGGGGGAAATTCTGTGCCTGCAGGCGCTCTTGATGTAAATCCATACCTGGCTGGGGGTTAGTTGCACCCAGCATTCAAGACTTTGGCAGCCCAGAACTCTGGGCTACCTAATATCAATTCTGTGCACATAGCACACTGACATTTGACATATTGAGCCTTCCCTTGCAAGTAGTACCTGCAAGAGGAGCATTTTTCTACCCTGTTACCAATAAAAGATCTCATTTAAATTATTATTGTTTTAAATGCCCACCCACACCTTCCTCCCTTCTCCCTCTCACCATCCCCTCACTGGTCCAGATTGCGCGCATTGTGCTCTGAGCCAACAAAACAGTCCAGTCACAGACTTCTCTATGTGAAATCTGGGATTGGACTGCGCAAAGCCCTGTTTGAAGTCAGAAAGAGGCATGGAAGTCAGCACTGGGAGTTGGATTCTGGGTAAGTTAGAACATTTTATTTTTCATGTTTTTGCAGGTTGGAGGGGGGAGACTTAATTAATAGTGCCCAGTAGGGAATTTTACACAGAAGAGTCCCCCCACTAAGAAAAATATGACAGAGTAGAGAGATACTTGGGAACAATTATTAAAGTTCTATTTAAAGGAACACTTTTGGGCACTTTTTATGGTGCCAGAAGGAAAGAGTGGCACCGGGCAGAGGCGCTGCTGATTGACTGAGAGCAGTCCGCTGACGCTCTCAGCCAATCAGTGACTCACGATTCATAAAAGTAGCTTGGAAAAGGTCAATTTTTTCCCAAGTCAGTTTTATAAATGGGGTGTCACTGACTGAATGAGAGTCAGAGGTGGGTCTCAACTAAGACCTTGCGCTGTCTGGGGCCTCATGCCCACCTAAACCGCATGGGGGCAAACTGTGTGGGGTCCTCGGTCAGTGAGCAAGGACCCGACACCAGGAGGGGGCCCAGCGGCGTGCTTTGTGTGCTGCCAGTTGCGAGGCCCCTCCAGTCAGCTGGGAGTGGGAAAGCACCCATTGCAGACAATATAGTCAGCAGTGTGCAGTGCTGCAGACCACGTGTCTTGTGAGATCTGGCCAATCAGAGCATTGTCACTGGTTACCACGGCAACGCTCTGACCGGGTCTCGTGAGATACATGGTCTGCACCAGGGCCGGCCTTAGGGGTGTGCATGCCAACAGGGGCGCCGGGCAACCAACACAGCTCGCACAACCAGGTCCTGCCCTACCTCAGAGCGCCCTGGTGGGTGAAAGATTGCGCCCCAGCCGGCCAACCCAGAGTGTGCTCTGCTTTGGTATTGGCTGGTGAGTAGATTGAGGACCTCCCTCACTGGCCCGCTGTTTGGATGATGGGAGCGAGCATTGAGCGCTTTAAATCTGCTCTCCTCTCGCGAGCTTGGCATTCAGAGTGTTGCCGTGGCAACGCTCTCATACTATCAACAGAGCTTGCTAGAGGAGGGCTCGTGTTCTGAAAGGACTGGCAGAGACCGCTGGACCACCAGGTCATCAGTATTCCCCCATCCCTGCCCAAAGGTATGCAAGAATGAGGGGGGCAGAAGGGGGGAATCAACATTAATTAATTTTAAGAAAACAAAACCTGAAATTGCTCTCCCATCTCCTCATTTAAAGCCTTATGTCACCCCCTCCTACCCACAAATCATCACTATCCCACCCTTACTGTGTTACCTACACACACTCCATAACACACACACACACATACACACACTACATAATCTACTCACGCACGCACACTACATAATCTACTCACACACAACATCCCCTATACACACACTACATAATCTACTCACACACACACACGCACACTACATAATCTACTCACATAAACACTATATAATCCACACACTCACACGCACACCACATAATCTACTCACACATTACATAATCTACTCACACACAACGCTCCCTATAAACACACTTTGTTCTCTACACACATACACACTAGATATCTCACAAACACTACAAAATGTACAGACACACTATGCTCCCTATATATACACACTACGTAACTTGCACCCATACACACTACACACTATGTTCCCTAAATACATACACACTATATACTCTATGCACACACTGTTTCCTACACACATACACACTACATCCCCTTTACACACACACACATTACATAACCTACACACACACATTACCTAACCTACACACACAAACACGCTACATCCCTATTCCACACACAACATAATGGCATGGCAATTTCAGGGAGTCAGGACACTCTTGTTAGAAATGTGTTTTTACTCCTAATGCTTGAGTGTTCCTTCACATAGGTTTGTTTTTCCCAAATCTATACACGTGGGAGGAATTCTTCTAGCCCATATATATATAATTTTCTGCTCATGATTTCTGAGAGTAATATTTAAATATACATGTATATTAATATGGGTGTATTATTATTATTATATGTTTTATTACACCTATAATATTTACAAATGTATTAATATACGTGTATATGTATGATATGTCCAGAAATCACGTTAATACGTAACACCTATGTAATGGACTTTTTACAAGATGGATGAGGGCATGTGACCATGGAGGGGCGCTGTGAATATTTTTCGCACAGGGCGCCTAAAGGCCTAAGGCCGGCCCTGGTCTGCACCCTGTGGAGCTGCAGACCGGATATCCTGAACACTGGACCGCCAGGGAGCCCATACTGGACCACCAGAGAAAATAAATAAATAAAAAGGTATTTCTCACCCCCATCCCAGTATCCCTTCCACACCATCACCCCCCTCCCTCCCAGTATCTCCCCCTTCCACACAATCGCCCCCTCCTTCCCAGTATCCCCCCCATCCACACCATCACCCCCTCCTTCCCAGTATCCCCCCCTTCCACACCACCACCCCCCTCCTTCCCAGTATCCCCGCCCCTTCCACACCATCACCCCCCTCATTACCAGTATCCCCGCCCTTCCCACACACCATCCCTTCCTTCTCAGTATCCCCATTCTGTTCATCAACCCCCCTCCTTTACAGTATCCCCCCCTTCCACACTATCACCCCCTCCTCCTCAGTATCCCCTCTCCCCCCCCTTCCACACTATCACCCCCTCCTCCTCAGTATCCCCTCTCCCTTACACCTTCACCCCCTCCCAGTATCCTCCCTCTTTCTTACTATTACCCCCAGGGCCGGACTGGGGATACAAAGCAGCCCTGGAAAAAAAATTTGTGCCAGCCCCATAAGTCACTGCGCCATATATTGTCGCGTGTAATATGTAAGGCTATGTCTTGCCAGGACAGATGATTGAGTAATATATATATATATATTGCTTTTTCTAATATAAAATATTGGCCCTTTCAGGGTAAAACGTTTAATTATACAGTAAACATACTCACATGCAGACACAGGCAATTTCACTGACATCTCAATGACACACACAAGCTCATTGATACACAGCCTCATAGACAAACAATCTTACTGATATACATCAGCTCATTGACATAAAAACACAAGCTCACTCACTAGCAGGCACACGCATGCAAGCAAGCTCACTCACTAGCAGACGCACACACACACAGCTTAATGTGGTGGTACTGGTGTCTATAGCATGTCCCTACAGGCTTTTCAACGTAAACACTGTCTTTTTAGAGAAAAGGCAGTGTTTACATTGCTTCAAAGTGACACTGCTAGTGATAGTTGTAACGGAGCTCCTTGTACTCCGACTGAGTACCCTCCGTTGACGGATGCTCCTAGCGCTTCCTGAGGACTCCAAGCGCTGCAGCAGACACCACAACCACCGCAGACTCCGCAACCGCCGTATCTTGACTTGAGTCTCGCCGTCTTCCTTCCACCCTGGATCAGCTTCTATCCTCCAGGACTGTGTGGGAAAGAACTCTTCCTTCCACCCTGTACGAACCTCCAGCATCCAGGACTGTGTGGTGAAGACCCTTCCTCCAAGGAGAGCGTGTCAGGAACAAGCTCTTAAAAG